ATATTCCCTTGTTCCGATACATTTAAGCAATTTATGGATGAAAAACTAATTTTCTGAAAGAGGCTTTATATGGGGCTAGGGGCAAATATGGACCAAGCTCGATAACATTTTGTGAATATATTTATATTTACATAATATTTTATTGTGCTGAATTTCATCGCGTGTTTATAAGTTAATTTGTGTTTATAAGTTAATTTGGGACATTCAAGTAATTTTCTGAAGGGGACTTTGTATGGGAGCTAGGGTCAAATGGGGCCCGATCTTTATGAAATTTGGCAGGGTCATCATCTATAAAACTTAGTTGTGCCGTATTTTATCGATATATCTGTATATTTAACATAATTATGAGCTCAGAAGCCCTTTTCGGGGGGTTCTGTTCTATGGGGTCTAGGTGAAATAATGGACCGATTTTAACCATTTTCAATAGGCTTCGTCCTTGAGTCAAATAAAACGTGCGTGCCAAATTTCATCCAATTATCTTGACTATTGCGACCTGTACCTTGCGCACAAGGTTTACATGGACAGCCAGCCAAACGGACGGACGGACATAGCTTAATCGACTCAGAAAACGATTCTAAGCCGATTGGTATACTTTAAGGTGGGTCTAGGACGAATATTTTTGTATGTTACAAACATCAGCACAAATCCAATATACCCTCCCCACTAAAGTGGTGTAGGGTATAAAAAGTATGTGAAATACTTTTTTCATTTTAATAAAAATGAAATGTCAAAAAATATGTGTGTCGAATTTCATCGCTTTTCTGTATTCTGTATTTTTAAGCCAGTAATGATCGTTTAAGTAATTTTTTGAAGGGCACCTTATATGGGGATTAGGCTCAATTATGGACCGATCCACATAAAGTTTGGATCGGGACCTTATGGGGAGTCAATTATGTACCGATCAACATAAAATTTGGTAGAGAAGTTTTGGATCATAAGAGACTTACTTATGTCAAATTTCATTGTTATACTCGTATTTGTAAGCCAGTAATGAGCGTTAAACAAATTTTCTGAAGGGGGCCTTATTAAATTTGGTAGAGAGATTTTGGATCATATGAAAGTTATTTATATCGAATTTCATCGCTATACTCGTACTTTTGAAACAGATATGCCCATTAAAGCTGTTTTTCGGGGGTCCACTTGTATGGGGGCTATCCGATATCTCGTTCCGTTCGGACTCTATCGTACTTTCAACAGACAGACGGACGGACAGACATGGCTAGATCGCCTTAGAATTTAATAAGGACCCAGAATAGTACATATACTTTTGTGGGTCTATGACCAATATTTCGATGTGTTACAAACGGAATGACAAAATCAATATACCCCCCATCTTTTTTGCTGGTGGGTATAATAAATATTAAATGATAAGAGAAACTATTAAGAGCTAATATCCTCGCAATTTCGCAAAGACAATTTGATGTTTTGTGAGGGTGTTTAGTTCTTTCAAGTGTGTTTAATTCTCTCAGAGCTCGTCTCGAATTTAGGCAGTTTTTACTTTACGTTAGCAGTGATCAATATTATCATTTTTTGTTGTTACATAGTGAAATAAGGGTTCTGTCTAGTGAAATGTCCCATGTTAGAGAGGCAAATATTTCCAAAAAAGTTTTAGAAGATTTTGTTGTTTTCTTTGGTAGATTATATGAATATGAATTAGTTTTAATATTCATGGCTTATTACTAGTTATTATTAGTCTCTTTTTCAGCATACAAATTCGAAAATTATATGCAGTATATTAAAGGAATTGTAAAGAAACCAAATAAAATTTTGCAGCAGATAGATCGATTCCTTAGGTTAGAAGAAAGGCAGGGACTTAATTCCAATTTGGTTTCTAAATTAGGATCTTTTAGCATTAATCATAAGAACAACGTTGTCAACTTTAAAATTTCAAAAAGCACCAAATTGAACATGTTTCTCGTAAAAAAAGGACTAAAAAATATTTTCCAACTTTCAAAGGAAAAATTTTGTATAGATGTATGTACTACAGAAACTTTATTTTTTTCTAAATTCAGTTGATTTATTTCGAAAAAAGTAGTAAGACACTAATGATGGTAGTTCAAAGGAAAATTAATTGCTCGAATATACTATGTTCGGGAAGAAAAATTGTCAGCCATAAAAAGCTAAAAATATGTATGATTAAACCAAAAAATAAAATTTCGATATATTTTCGTAAAGGGATAAAAATTATAAAATTTATATTTATATTGAAAGCCCTTAAAATACTTTGTTCAATAGTACCGTCGATCTCTGCTACATATTTTGAAATAACCTATTGGAATAGGTTAAAATTAATGAAGAATAAGTTTATTACAGAAAATTATTACGAATATTCCGGGAATATGTACTAAAATATCGTGTTTATATTAAGTTTTCTTTATTTTTTTAACTGTATCAAGGATAACGAATTTGTTTAAGTAAGTTTTGCAATAATAAATACGTTCTTGAAGAACTCTTTCAAAGAGTTGTGAATGTAATACTTTTGAACCAAAATTATCGATCTAGAACTGTTCTATAGAACGAACAACTCTTAAATAATTTCATGGATTTCCGAAGTCCTGATAATTACCTGCAATTATGGTAATTAAAAAATATAAAAGCTTGTTTTTATACCCTATACCTATATAGTGAACATGTGCTGATGTTTCTAAACCTTGTAATCAAACAAACGGTCGCAATGTTCAAGATAATTTGTTCAATTGTGCCTCCCGAATAAGTTTTTGGTGCTCCTCAGAAATTGACTTGAACGTCCTTAATTCCCTAATTTGTATGTTAGTTATCAGACTGTAAATTAACAGATTTTCTTTATTTTAGGAACAGAAAAACAATATCATCTAAAACACATGGAACCAATAATTCAAAATCATGGAACAGACAATATATTAAACAAAATATAGAAAATTTTTAAAAATTAAATTAAAACTACGTTAAAAAATTAAAATTTTTAATATATTTCACAATTTCCTAGAAAAAAAATTATGAAAGTTACTTTTTGACGTTAAATTTAGTGTCACCAAAGAAAGCACTAGGCACTAACTCAATATTTGCTCGCGTCGAAAATTTTTATAAGCCCTGAAAACAGTGGTAAAAGCTCTAAGTTGACAACGCTACATAAGAAGGAGAAAGAACGTTTTTGTTTCAGCAAAGAATTAAGACTGGTGTTTGAGTCATTCAGTGATCTAGGGACTGTCGTTGGTAGTAGTTTAAGTACTGAAACTTTTGCAGTTAAAAGGGAAGATATATGTAGATTTGAAATATTTGTGTATACCCTACGATAGTAAGTTTCTTCTTATTTCCCTTCTTTACCACCTTTTTCACGAATTTTCACACTAATTGTTTTCGCACTTTTAACAGGCATTATTTTAATAAAACTTCAATAAAAATAAATAATAATGTACATATATCGTCATCTGAAATACAAAAAGGCGTAACAAACAAAAAATTAAAAATCGAATTTTTGATTGAAAATGGTCCACTGCATCAAAATACATGTTGTTCCAAATTTTTAGAACTCTATTTTCAAAAAGGTCGTTACAACAAATTAGTAATTTCCACTAGTCAGAAAGTCCTAAAATGCAACATAATAGACAATGTCTGGCGGTATATTTGCATTCAAATCAGTGGCAAAAAATAAAGGTTAAGTTTTGTTTATTATCATTAGATTACAAATTAATATTACTTTTTTATTTAAGACATTTTGGAAATATTCACGGCTGTTATGGAATCTGATTGCTCTCGGAATCAGATTTGAAACCGACCAAAAATTGATTTTGGTATCATAGAAACCAATGTTATTGGTTTCATATTCGAATCAGAATTGTAATCAGAATTTGATGTCATCGAATCTGATGTTATCGTTTTTTTGTCAGAAATAATCCGATCAGCTGACTGCTTACAGATTTGCAGTTTTCTTTTATTTTTTGTTTTGTTAGTTTGTGGAATGTTGTTGGAAAATGTAAGTTAAATAAATAAAAATTTAATAATTTATAAATATTCAATTATTTTTGGCACAAATAGGGGCAAACATAGAAATGCAACACAGAATGCATTATTTTTAGAGTTCATGGAGAAGAACCCAGATATAGCAAAAGGTTTCACAAAACGCGATAAAGTTTTAGTGGATTCTCTTTGGCAGGAATTGACGGTTTCTCTAAACGGCGCTGGTTCGCCGAATAAGGATGTTAATGGGTGGAAAAAGGTAAACTATTTGTTTAAAGTTCATTAATTTGGCCACAAATATGGTATTCGTATTTACACACAGATATGGACAGAATGGAAAAGCGAGATTAAAAAAAAACTTGCTCACAACAAGGCCGAGGCCCGAGCAACCGGCGGTGGACCGTTTTCAAAATACCAACTGACACAAACAGAAGAAACAATAGTGCGATTGTGTGGAATCCAAACGACAGTGGAGGGTGTTTTAGGAATAGAATTGGGCCTCATAGAGGTGATAGAGGAATCAAATGTTGCCGTAAATGATGATATGCCTACAGGCTCATCTAGGATAAGACCTGAAACACCTTACATGTGTAGTACACCAAAAAGAATACGAACAGAAACCACAGCAGACCGTTTAAAAAAATTTCTGGATGAAGATGGTGAAAAGAAAAGAGAAATAAACGAAAAACTCGACCAACTTATTGCTGTAGAAAAAGAAAATGCCAGTGCCCTTAGACGTATTTATCGCGCAATTGAAAAAAACAACGAGTCTGTGACCAAGAGTGTTAATGATTTTAAAAATGAATTTGCAATTACCAGTTCCCGAATTCTTAAGGCAATGCAGGAAAAAAATGAAATAAAAAAACAACAATTGCAACTAGAACTTATGAAATTTGAATTACAAAATAAAAGTAAAGCTCAGTGATCTCTTTTATTAAAACCTAAATACGTGACCTCAAGTCCAAAGGACAAAAAGAAGTACAAATGAATTAATTTTTTTTAATAATTACATTTAATTAATTTTAAAATACTGAATTTAATAAAATATAAATAAATTATTTTATTTATAATGTATTTGCTATTTCGTCTCTTATTTTCTTGCCTTCATTTTGCAGATTCGACGTAGAGAACAATAAAGAATTATCTTGTTCAAGATCGTCTGGTGCAACAGCTATTTCTTCAGCTTCATATGAAATTTTGTAGCTCCTGCATATATTGTGCAACGCGCAGCATACGTTCACTATTTGTACTACTTTTTCTGGGCTGTAATGTAATGTACCAAGCAAACAGCGAAATCGGCTTTTTAATACGCCTATAGTTCGCTCCACAATATTGCGAGCTGAGGTGTGTGCTATATTAAATTTATGTTCTTTTGTGTTGTATGCAGGATCTCTATAAGGTGTTAACAAAAATGGTTCAATTCCATACCCGCAATCTCCTAATAATCTAGTCGTTCGATCTCCACTTTCGTACTCTCTTAGGAAATGCTGACGTGCGTTGCTCATATTCCACACAAATGAGTCATGACTTGCGCCGGGATACCGTGCGCTAACTGCTCGTATCATCATGTCACCGTCACATATCTTCCAAACAAAAATGATTGCCAATAATGACAAATTATTGTTTCATATGTTACTACACAGAGAGAACAAATTCATTGTAAAAAATAGATTTTTTGCAAACTTTAATTGGGCCAACTAAATTTTTGGGTTGGAACATTATCGGCCACCATAATCATCAGTTGGATAAAATTTAGTTTTGGCAATGAATTTTTTCTCTCTGTGAATTTTTTACTCACGATCATGGCATTCATACTGAAATATCCCTTCCTATTAAAATATAACTGCTCATCAATCGTGGGTTTTATAATTTTAATGTGAGTTCCATCGATGCAACCAACAATGGAAGGTATTTTGTTTTTGTTAAAGAAATAATTTCTTGATCTACGTTTTTCACTTTCATCCATCCTTAGTTTTATCCACTGAGGACTTACATATTTTAGCAGAACTTTCAGTACACGACTTAATACAACTGATACAGTACTTCTGCCTAGACTTATGGTGGAATCGTTTCCAACTGACCTTTGGTAAGACCCTTCTGCTAAAAATCGCAATGTTGCAGCCAGTTGAATCACGCAGGGAATGGTTGATGGTAACAAATGTTCTTTTACAATGTCCAACACCATTACGAACGCTTCTTTATTCAGACGGTATTGTCCAATGAATCTGCAAACCACTAAAGTGTTAAAACCACTTCCCGGCCAAATCAAAATCTCTACTTACACAGATTCTGGCAGTTCCAATGGATTGCTGTGATCCCTTAAAATTTTCCGATTAATTCGTTGACAACTTTCTTCCTCCATCAATAAAAATGCAACTACTGCCTCAACCATTTCAATTTTTTTGTATAAATTATTTAAAAAAAATTTATAATACGTCAACTTCTAAAATTTAACTAAACTAAAAAATGTAAACAAAAGAAAACAGCTGATTCGAATATGGGTTTTGTTTATTTTCGAAAGTAGGCAAAATCAAGACGATTTCATGACACCTATTCAAATCGGAATTGATTTTAATTTCTGATAAATTACCAATTCTGACTTGGATTCCATAACAGCCGTGATTAAAAAATATTTTATCTCTCCTCGAGAAGATTGAAGAAACTGTAAGTATGCAATTATGATTTATTTTAAATATAAAATTATTTCTCCTTATTATATATACATATGCCTGTTCCGAAATCTAATATTATTATTTTCTTATTTCGTTTAAGCAAACAACTATAATGCAAAACCAGAGCATACTGAGCAATAGTCAAGGCTCAATAGTCTCCAACCAACAAGAGATTGCCAATAAATTAGAGAAACTAGAGACAAGTGTAAGTATTACATATTAGTCTTCTTTTATTACTATTTAAATGACAAATATTTTAACAAATTTTGTCAAAGCCCGAAGCCTTGGCCAATTCCAAGGTGTTGATGGAATGTAAGGTAGCCATCAAAAAGGTAGAAAATTATGTGTGTCGCATGACTAGTGAAAAGCAGAATAAGCATCTGGACGAAGTAGCCAGCATGTTTCCACTGAAATCAGTCGAAGCTGTGGGAGAGGTAGAGCAGAAGTAAGAATCTCCAGAGTTTTGTCAAACAATGGTAATAAAGTCAAATTATTTCTTTTTTATATTTCATAATCATATTTCTTTACAGATTACATATTTTCATAAATTGAAAGGCACCTCTGAGGATGTCAGCTGTGTCATTCGTGCAGTATTAACTGATGACCTGCTCGAAAAGTATAATTGGGAAGGAAGGTGGGGGAAACGAGAGCTTGCTAAGCTTTTGCTATTTGAAAAAGTTCTACGAGGTATGTCCACGGGTTATATACTAACCCCCTTATTTACAAACAACATTTGTATTTTATAAAAGGTTTATTAAATAAAATGTTCATACAAAATCTAATTTATAAACCGTTTATAACATAAAAAAACGGTTCACGCGATGTGCCCTATCCTTCAAGAGACATGCACTACATATTATTCCGACCGTGCTCAGGGTTTGGGGTGGTGTTCTTGTCTCCATCGGGATAGGCTAAGAACATTCATTTAAAAAGGTAGTTTGAACTTAATGTCAAGAGAAGATGGCGGTATTTCTTCTCTATCTTGACCCTCCCAACCTTAATATCTTATAAAAATTCCGCAAGATAGCCCTAATATGATTCATTTACTATATGTATTACTAACCTTTATTTAAATTAAAATTATTGAAACTTAAAATAAAAAAATATTTTTTAATACCCTTATTCTATAACTTAAACGTTCGTTCTGTTACCGTTCCAGACATAAATTTTTAAATTTTTGTATTCTAGAAACATTTTATCTATATATATATAAAAGAATAGAGTTACTGACTGGCTGAACCTAGAATTATGAAATTTTGACAGTAGATGTGTTTTTGGTTATGTAGAAATTTGGAAATTTCTACATTTATGGGTAAAAAAGGAAAAAAAACGGGTAAAACAGCTTTTCTTAATTATCTTACCTAATATTAGTGATACAAGAAAAATTTTATGTGCACCTGTATCTGCTCTTAAAATAAGCAGATGGGTGTCTGGTACTTTTTTGAAATTCGTACTTTTAAGGGGTGATAATGTGTAACAAAGGTGATTTTGGTACTTTTTTAAAATTCAGTCCATTTTGGGTCTAAAAGGGATAAAACTGTATTTATGGTACTTCTTTTTTAGCACATAAAGAAAAATTTTACTTTTTTTATTAGTACTTTCCACTAAGGTAGAATTTATTCCACTTTTGGTACTTTTTCTTTCTTCAAATAATACTCTTTGTAAGTTCTATAATATTAATTCCAAACATATATTTATATAATATTAATTTAAACATACACGATCCTCATTGGATAAGATTCTTTAAGAGAGAAGTTTTTAGTACTTTTTATCTCATTTATGGTACTTTTTGAATTTTCTAAAATATTCAACCTAGGAAAATTTTTTTATTCATCAAATTATATTTTTTGAATTGTATATATGTAATATTGAACACAGAAACATATTTTTTTTTGATTAAATGAGGTATTTTATAGTACTTTTTTTCAAATAGTACTTTCGAAATTTTCTATAATGTGGAAGCTAAACGAATGAAACTAAAAATATAAACTTCTTACTGAATGCGAATTTATTCACGATATATTGAACGTAAAAAACTAAAACATTAAAACAATTTTTAATCAATTTTAATTTCTATAAAAGTAAACAAAATTTTGTATGAATTTATTTTAAGATAGGGTAGCGAAGCACCCAGGATATGCTATATATAATATAACGAAAAAATGTTACTGCCTTAAAATACGTAATCAGAACAGAAAATTATATTCTGTAAAGAATTTTGTAACGAATTAATTTGTCAATTTTAACAATCAGTATTTTCAAAGTAATAGGAGTTATTTTTTTCCTAAATTAAAACAAAATACGAAAATAATGGTAAGTACGAATATTTTTTCTATTTTAAAACGTTTAGCTTAAATTTAAAACGTTTAACTTAAATAATAATAAAATCATGGTTCGCACCTGGGTATTGGGGATCAACAAAATTTATTTTCAATTGTTCAATTCACAATCGATGTTGTAGCGTTGTATGCGTTGTATGTCAGCAGCTGCTACAATAGTCATAACAATGTTGTTGGTATTTTCTATGCAAAAACTCTATACAACTCCTACGACAATTTTTCATATGTTTTTCGAATGTTGTAAGAAAGTTTAGTGTTGCCAATTGTTTATTTCAACATATAAACAAAAAATTCAAACGATTTTAGCATAAAAAACGATAAAGTGGTAACACTGAAATCAAAAACAAACAGCTGTTTACCAAAACAAAAAAAAAACTAAAATTTTATTAAAAATAGTTTATTTATTAGTTTAAAATGTGGAATAAAAAAAATAAAAGAATTGAAAATTCAAAGAAATTAATTTGGTTTATTTCGCAAGTTTAATTAATTTAATATTTTTTGATTTTTTTATACTTTCACATTGTTATGTATATTTGTTTTGATTATTTTTTTTTTCCATTGAGAACATAAACTTATGACTTTCTGCAAAGATCTGTTCACAATCACTGTTATTACACTTTAGTAGGTACAATATACAACTTGATTGTGAATTGAAGAAATGTATATAGATGGGAAATGGGTAAAAACCCAATTGGTAAATACCCGGTGTTTACCAAAAGGATGAGTATAAACTATGTTTTAGAATATAGGGAATAAAAATACAATGTAATATTAAAGTTAATGTATTTTTCATTAAATTATATAAAATTTACAAATATGGCAAAACGTAATATTAATTTAATATATAAATGTTAAACGTAACTTATGATATAGAATATGAAAATTTCCTGTTAACGCTTCTGTTTCTGTACATTTACAGAACGGAAAGTATAGAATAGGGGTATTAAATTAAAAACATTTATTAAAATTATTGAAACTTAACATAGAAAAATATTTTTTTTTAAACTAAAATAAAATATTGTTTAATTTTTGTTGTGTAGTGTAATTGTTTGTTTATTTTCAAGTAGGTATTCTAGATTGAAATGTTATTAACATAAAACTTTAAAATATCATGTTAATAACATAAATGTCAAAACAAATCAAATTATATTAACATTCAATTTAGAACACTTAGGTCCAATCTTTAGGTGAAAAATTAGCGATTAAATTAAAATTAATCCTCGAAAGTTGTCTTTTACTACTCAATTAGTTAATTTTGTTTGCAAGTTTAAGCGCCCAATGGTGGTGGTAAACAGCTGATGCAATTTTTATAAAAATAAACATTAAAATGTTTGATTTATTGATTAGTATAAATTATGGAGACTTCAAAATAAATTTGTTTGTTTTAAATTTAAGTTTTCATTAATTTTCATAGTGTCTTCTTCTGTTTTATAAAACATTGTTTTGATAACAAACAGTGACGTTTTCTGTCGTTTTGTATGGTAACACTGCAAAGTTTAATCTTGTATTGAAAAACATTAAATGGGATTAACATCAGATCAAATTTATTTTTAGATTAATTAATTGTTAATTGGCATTTGATTGCCAATTAGTAGATTTCAAGTTAGATAATTAGTTATAGGTTAAGTTTATTGAGGATTGGCGATGTTGTTTCAAAATTTTGTCAATTATCCCCAGAATTCTATTGTTCAAATTGAAAATTGTATATGATATTGGATTTTGATTATTCAGGATGATTATATTTGTAGATTAACCCCCTTATTCACAAACAACAATTTTATTTTATAAAAGGTTTATAAAACAAAATTTCCTACAAAATCTAATTTATAAAGTGTTAATAAAATAAAAATGTTTGTGAATAAGGGGGTAAATATTTATCTAGTGGATCTTGATATTTAACGCTCCAAACTCTTCGTTTTTTGAAATTTGGATTTACTTCTAAAAATTATTATTTAAAATTAACATTATTATGTTCCAAAATTAAACCATAATTTATTTTACCTTTATTTTCTTTTCTATTTGTTTTATTTTCCAGGAGACTTAAGTAATTAATCCCAACTTTTCCCCAAAATCTTTCTTAAATTAACGGAAATGGTTTTTTATATCTCCGTTCTATACAAATTTTCATTTTCAAATGAAAATATTTGAATTATAAATTTTTCAACACAATGCAAATACCATTGAATATTATGTCACATTTAGATACACAGAGAAAACAGATTCATTCATACGACATCTACCATACAATTCGGTTCGAATGACTGAATAATTCGATTAAGTTTCTAAATATATCGGCATGTACAACTAATTTTAATGAATGATTCGGT